ACCGGGCCCCATCACCGCTGCAAAGGCGATTTGCCGTTGCTGGCATCGTTCCGCCACCATCATCATGTGCGAGGCCTCTGCGTTTCCCCCCCCAGACAGGCGGGCGGACCCGGCTTCCAGCACCCGAAAAAACAGTCTCAGACGCTGATCACGGCTTCTGCTGGGGCCACATTGGACCATGAAAGCACGTAGAGATACAGAAGCTGACCATGCATAACCGGGCGACGCCTAAGAAGCATCGCCTAATATAGCTGATCAGGGTTGCATTGAAAGAAACTGATTATATAGGCAAACTGTTGGGTCAGAGTCCGAACATGTCGGTGTGGTCCCATTGAGCTTCATGAGCTAGCGCATTTGGCACTGCCAGAATGAATGCCACAACCAATTCAAGGGCTCGAAAAAGGAACGCCCCCAACGCGATGCTTTCCTTTTGAGGGAGGCGGTCCCTCCGTCATCCTCCGTCTCTCCAAGTCGTTCCCCTGAGGTCCTGGCATCTAAGGAATGAATGAAGTTGGGAGGAAAGCCCATCCGCTGCTTGTTCTGCGGAACAAGCGTCAGGGTCTCCAGAGTCTCCGTGTTGGTAAGTCTAAGTCAGGTGACAGCTCTCACCATGACACACAAACCGGATCGGAGATCGCTGGGTGAGGCTGCGTTGACTTCGGTCTGAGGAGATTGGTCGGTGTGATCTAGTCGAATCGGTTCTCATGTGTGTTCTAAGTGTTAAACAGTTAAACACGTTAAGCACATCCTATCACATGAATAAGGCAATCAGCATGGTACTATTTGTTGCCTGGTGCCATGTTTGAAAAGGAACGTGACGGTTGCTCATATGATGTTATATGAAGTTATATGGTTGAAATTTTCAGCAAGATAGCTCGGCATGCACCAAGCAGCCATCTACTAATGGCAAGCAAGTTGGTTTTCTGATGTTTTTTTGAGTGCCTTTGCATGACTCCTTCATGGACAGCCGGAAGATATGTAGACAGTGAATTTATGTTATTAATTATTAGCCTCGCAACGGAAGGGCTTGGCTGTGTACGATGACAATTTGTTGCTCCCTACTCAGGTTTGACACTTTGACCCAAATGTGTTCGAAACCTTCTCCTCAGCACGGAAAAGGTCGAAAGAAACTCAACATCTTGGGGGAGTGCACCAAACTGTTCGCTGGCACTTGTTCACCCAAGTATCTTTGCTCATCCTGGTTCAACTGTCCGACACAACGTCCCTCAGCCACTGTTGCATAGGACGTTCAGAAACCCCGCCTTGTTGATGGGCACATCATCGCCCGTCCGGAGGCTCACCTGGCATGACGCGTGTGGGAAAAACGCAAATGACACGATGCACTGACATCAACAAAAAAACAGCGAGTCCGGTTTTCCAGATGTCTTACATAAACTAATGTACGTATCTCAATGATAAGACATTTCAGGCTCGTGGTGCAGGAGGCTTTTTTGGGTGGGTTGAGGGTTACAGGGTGTTCCAAGATGTGGCAGCGGCATCTTCTTTCTTCCAGGGTGGCTTGCGCAATTCACAAACTCTGGTCGTAGAACGCACTGGAGCCCAAAAGATTCACATCCAATCGCCCACATGTGTGGAATTTCATGGACTTGGTTTCGTGGTGACGACTTCGGCGTGTACACTCTCCACCGCAGACGGACACAGAAAATCCGCTCACCGTCTGGCGCTTCGAGCTGATGACCACCACTTTGGGCTTGTGGTAGGGCTGTGCACACGCCAAGCCCACCGGCGAGATCCAAGAGATTGGCGCCTGGCGGCACGGGCCCACCAACGTGGGCGGAAAAAGGAAAGCACGGGCGATCTGGATGGCAATGTTCTTAGAAGAAAGAAGCTGCCCATACTACGCTTATCAACTTATCAAGCCCTAATGACCATACATCACCACCTCACCTGCGCAGTGGACTTACCCTCTTCCCCAGTCTCCCCCGATCGCCCAGCCCAAGCCCTCAAATTGCTTGGAGAACCTCTCTCTCTCCTCGAGCCAGTGTACTTCTTTAAACTTCAAGGACCGCCCTTGCGCAGCAAACCCGTCCTCGGCGCTGTTGAACAACTTGCTGATTTGCTCGAACCACGTCTGCAGATATGTTCGGCGAGGTGACCCGTGGGAACAAGCAGGATGAGGTCGCACATTTTGTTGAAAGAAAGTTGAGAAACACGTTGAACGCGCTCAGGAAACAGCGGAAGAGCATGTCCACTGCCACTATCTGTGTAAAGGGAGTGGCGTCTGGACAACATCCACCGCGACCTGGGAACTAACTACATATGGGGATCCAGATTTCTACAAAGACTTACGGTGTTTGGGTATTTGCATGGTGCAGCTCCGCAGGCTTTTGACCATGGACAATAATGGACAATGGCTTGATCCATCTTTCTGAAAGTTTGCCTCGACAACTGGGAGAAGCCCCGAACTCCTATGCCTTGATGTACTTTTCCCACCATGTGGTGTCTGGTGAGTGCTCAAGTCTGTGAGACTGCGACAATGCACAGAATGGTCAAGAAATGCCGATGTTCAACTCCTGGCCTTTCTTTTGATGGTGGTCATTGGAGGAGTTACCCAAAACCAGCGAAACCAGCGTAAACCGTCTCGTCTCCAAGGACTCCGCGACCGTCTGCGCTCATCGCGACGTGCATCGCCTGGATTTTCTTGGCTTCGCTGAAGACGTCTTCGATGGAGTTCAAGACCATCCTTGAGGCGGCACCCGGTTCATTGCGAGCTGGGCTGCCAAACAAAACCAGTTGAAACCGGTTTTCATGGGAAGAGTCCAAAAAGACTGGATCTGGGACAATTTGAGGTTTAATGTCGTCATGAGGTTGTCCGCGAATTCAAGGCGGCGGCGGGATGTCTCATTCCGCGCGCACATGGTAGACACTCACCACTGGTCTTTGGGATCTATGGACCCACAAGACACCGGCGAATAGCGAACGAAGGGGAATCCTGAACCATATTGCATGCAAACGGGTGGAATACGTTGTTTACAGTTGGTATCTCAGGTAGTAGAGGATGTTTTTCACTATATATATATATATTGTATATGGGTCCCTAGTTAGTTCCGTGGCATCCCCATCTGAGGCTTCAATGGTTTTTACGCTCGCATGTATGCATGCGGAGTACTCCAACCCATGGCGCAGACGTCTTCGATCCAGTTCATCGACATCTTCGATCGACCGACTGGGGCACGTGCCCGGAGAGGTAGACGGCCAAGGCCTTGATCTCTTCAGCTTCCACCTGCCCAACATCCAACAACTTCCAACTGCTTTCACCACTCATTCACTCTGGCACTGGGGGAAACGTCACCGGTCGTATTTCGAGACATTCTAGTCTAGTGTCCTGCCCAGCACACAAGGGACCCAGAAAGAGCTGTTTTTTGGGCGATTCGCTGTGAACAACAAACATTCACTGGCGCTTGTCCAATCCATGCAAGTTCTGAAGGTACTGCCGAGCCCTGAAAACCCACTGCCGGGATGCTCAGTGCCTCAACTGGAACCACCGGTGGGCAAGCAACGTGCGTCTGCTTCAATGGTCGCTCGTCTGGACACAAGTAACAAGAATTTGCAAAGCTCTGCTAACAACATGGTTCTAAGCTGCTCCAGAAATGGTTTTAGGCTCCTTTGCTCCATCATCTCCAGTTGTCAGACCGGCCATCCGAACCTTCCGAACCTTCCATCTTGACCACAATGCTATGGGTGTCACGATGCTTATGCTCACCTCAGCTCTTTGCCAAAGGCGCAGAATCCCTCCCGGTCTGATCCCCCTGCGGGCGCTCCGCGCCTTCTCGCCCACACTATCCTCAAGCTGCCCTTGGACTTGTCGCATGGCACCCAACTGGCCGTCGCTTCGTTTTGGGCTCCCAGAGCAGGTTCGAAAAATACACCAGCTGTGGCAGTACTTTTCGAGTGGTCCATGATAGTCCATTGGGCTTGCAAAACGTCTTTTGCCAAAATCACCTGTCTGACCTCTGTCGGTCCTCTGCCCACCGGCACCTCCACAGCCTGGTCCTTCCGTCCTCCCAGGTGTTCTTCCAAAGCGACCAAAAAAACACGAGTTATCAGGGGCCTGGAGAAAGAAAACACCTCTATTCTGGGAGAAGACCACAATTTGAGATAGCCTTGGAGATGCACATCTTGTGCTTTTGAACAGGGTCATTGTACCGATGAATCATGACGAACGTACGTTCCTGGGAATCACCATGTGTTCGTAAGCTCGGCTTTGTTTCGGTGATCAAAGCCCTGAAGCCCACCCAATGTGGCAACATGTTGAGTCGAACGTCTCCTGCAGATGTTCACAAAAATGCCTTCCGCCGTTCGAGTCTATGACTTGACTTACACACAATTTTTGCTGCTGCCGCATGCACAGCTCGCCCTTTTCCCCTCGCGGAAGATGTTGGAAGGCATGCACAGCTCTTTCCATAGCGAGAGGCTTGTGCGAAAGTTGGGATGTGTTTGATGCTTTCAGGCACTAGCATAGTAGCGGACGGACCTACAAACCAACTATATAATGTCCGAGTCCAAGGCTTCTCCGCATCATTGTTGCCCCAAACATGCACGTTCAATTCTTCTCCCTGTTCCTTTCAACATGTTTATATTACTCGTAAGGGCACAACAAAACCTCTATTTGCACTGTCTTGTCGTGTTGCCTTACGGTTCCAACTGGTTTCAGGGGTGTCGATCTTTTAGCCATATCCAAATTCCTTGCCTGGGTTGGCTCAATATGAGGGAACCTGTCCTGCATTGGACCAAGTAGTTCAATAAAAATAATGTCGCTGCCCAAAGCTTGTAGGTGTCTTTCCAGGAGGAGTCTGGTCGGCCTGGCACAACCCACACAGCTCACATACAGTAGCAACTTAGTAGTGGAAAATATCGTCGAAACCCCTGCAATGCAGTCGGATTGTCAATTGTCAGGCATAAAGGATTGTGTTGATTTGTGGAGATCACCTAGTCGCATCTAATATAATGGAATTCTACCAAGATCTTTCCTACATGTTCCTTGTGCGGTCGTGCGTGGCATGAAGTGAGCACAGCTCTCGCGTCTTATTGGGACTGCTCGTGGGCTTCCCTCAGCCCCGCGTCGATAAACTGAGTCAAGGTCTTCACTGAGGGGTAATCGAACCTCGGTGTGAAGGCTGGATGCACATTGACCATGCTTGATGGCTGGTTTAAGGTAAGTGGTCATCATGTGGGCTTCTCTGACACGAATGTATTTTCTTGAATCCAATCAGATGTTGATCTCTCAGGGACTCAAGCCCTTGTGGAGTTCGTTATGTAAGTGGCGTCTTCTGGGTTCAGCGTAAAATGGTGATGTCCTTCTGTCCTTCCTCTTCAGTGCCTTGCCCTAAACGGATTAAAGGTTACCACTCCCAGCAGCCACTTAGGCAACGGTGATGAAATGGCAAATGGAGGGTGGTAGACATATGTTACGCCATGGGTGATGGGTGATGGATGGAGGGCGGCTGTCGTAGTAACTGGCTCCAATCGAAATATCCTCTACCATCCTCTACCAGCACTCTCCAAGACCAAGACTCGAACACTCGACCACCGTCACACTGTGTGGGGGGCATCCGATCTCGGGTCGATCAGCGTTCCATCTGAGAGGCATCAGCGTCCCAGGCATCTGCAGTCCAACAAAGTCCTGAAGGCTGCTCTCATGATGAACAAGAAACATGGTGGAGAAGACTCAGTGACAGTATCTAGAGGAGAGTACTCAAGCCATGCCAAAGCCAAACGGTTCTGCATGGTTCTGTCGAACCATGTTATTTGTAAGAGGGTGTTGTTTATGTTTGTGTGAACAAACGGGTGGCAAGTGGCAAATATATACATAAAATAAGTATATATATAAATATAATATAAGTATATCATACACTGTAATGTCCCTGAGGATTCAAGTGAGAGACCCTTCAATCATGACAAGACTTCCATGAACTCCTGGCTCTTGCGTGAGAAAAGTCATCTTTGCTGATCTCCAATAAATTGCTGTGGGTCGCCAAGTCGTCTCCTCCAGTCTCCCCTTTCGCACGAAACGCCTTGGAGATGGCGTTGGCGAACTCCACGGCTGCCAGGGAGTCCAAGCCGGCATCCATCAATGGCTCGTCATTCGCCAAGGTCTCCACACCTTAATCACGTCAAGCAAGGTCATGCAAGCAAGGGTAAGGGCTTCCGAGCAGGTCAAAGCAGGCTACAGGCTACATGCAGATACTGTATATCCACAAGGCTGTGTCTTGAGGACAACAGTTCACTGCAACTGCCATACCACTCACGTGCTACCTACATACTGACGGACTTATCTTACGTGCACCAGTCCTTGGGTTTTCATCGGACTTGGGCTTCTGGTAACCACCTGGGTCAGAGAACCTACACTCCGCAGCCACCAAGCATAAGCGACGCCAGCGAAAGCAAACTGGAACAACCTGATGGATTGAAAAAAAAACACTGGAAGGCCCCCATCCCACTAGTCTTCATGAGTTGATTGGGCATGTTTGATCATGTTTGCAGGGAATTCCAGCTGCAGAAGACCTTATTTTGTGGTGGGATTGCTCTGTCACCCTGGCTTCCATCGCGGAGGGTAAACCCAAGGCGCAAAAGCAAAATGGCGCACGGCGACCCTTTCCCCAGGCAATCATAAATCTGATTTGCCAAATCCCTGTTGAAGCAACACCACAAAAACACCACAAAGCATACAAAGACTGGCCTGTTGAGCCTGTTGAGAGGAAAGCAACACCACAAAATTGCACTTGGTGTTAGGGCCGGGTAGGTGAAAAACCACCAGTCTTCTTGTCACATTGTCTGCATCAACCGTAGCATATAAATATAGTGAAGATGAACAATGACCCGCAGGATGCTGTCCTAGGCTTGATGAAACACCTCCCAAATATGCCCATTCATCTGGATGTCACGTAGCTGGTATCAGGGAGCCCCTTGCGAAATAAGCCACTTGCGGGGCAGGTCTTCGGATCCTCATACTGTTCTGACAGTCTGACACCGGTCTATAAATAGTATCCAAACTGGTCTGAACTCCGGTGAAACTCCGTCGCGGTGAAACCCGGCTCCTACCACCTCGCCCCAGCGGCCGATCAGCGAAAGCGCCGTGTCCTTGACGACCTCCTCGATCTCGTTCACCGACGGGCCTGGCGCCAACCGAGCTCCACGCGGTCTCCCAAAGGCGGAGAACACAGGTCGGCGGAAGTTCCGATTGGAAAGCGGGAGTAATTATACTATATATATAAACTTGCCAGTGCTCTGAAGAAGGTGGAGGTTTGTGACTACTTTCCGACACACTCTGCGGTAGCTGCCTTTTTTGACTTTCGCCAGTTGAGTACCCATTTGCAAGAATGGCCTATGCCTGCCTTTATTCCTTGGTCTAAGGTTGAGCTTGACCAATGGCACTCTTCTTGTGCTCAGAGTGCTGATTGGCAATGGGGTTCCAATCTGACTGAGGATTTTGGAAAGTGGTGTGGGCGCTTTGAATCTTCTCTGGATGGTCATGGCCACTATCCAGGAGGTCGAGCACTACCTCGTGCATTTCGTGGTCGGGGTTCCAGGCTTGAGACTGTGGGAAGACGCAAACAAATTCGTCTTTTGAGACCATCTAGAAAGGGGGAATGTGAGATGTCTGATGAAATGCTCGGTCATCGGGTGCAGCAATGGTTTCGACAACTTCGGCGGTTCCAGTCCATGGTTCATGCTGTGCGGGCTGGCAAACAATCGATGGAAGCCCTGTTGTACAGGGCTCAGCTCTGGGGAAAAATCCGTCGTGCTGAGGGATTTGAGGGTGGATTCCTGGCCTGGTGGGAAGACCGTGAGGTGAAACATACTTCCTGCCCTGTGATTTTCTCCGAGACGGTTCCATCGCTTGAAGCTGCAGAGGCCTATTTTGCTGATTTTGAAGCCAATTACCGCCGTTTCAAATGACTGCAAGACGCCAAACATTGCAGGCAAGATTCTCTGCAGATGACAATCTTGTTTTTCGTCTCTTGAAAAAACCCATGGAAGCCCAATTGGAGGTCTTGGAAGTGGATACCAGGTTCACCATTGAGGAGGTCAATGCTAGAGCTCAGGTCCGGCTTTTTGTGGACCCCAAATTGGACCAGCGTCATATGATTGATGGAGAACATGTCCGCTTTGAACCTGTCTCGGACTCTTGGTTTGAAGTGCATGGGGACACTTTGCTCATTCCAGGGCAAACAGTTGTCGAGACAGCCTCTGTGTGGGGTGAAGCTGAGATTGCCAACCATTTGATGCAAGAGTGGGGGGCAAGATGGGGCCGCCATGACTCAGTCGACCATGACAGGTGGACTGGGGTTGTCAACTTTGCAAAGGCCTTCATGCCTCGGCTTCAGATTGAATTGGAACCAATTTCTCTGCAGCAATGGAGGGTGGCCTTGCAAGGCTTCAAAGCGGGCTCTGCAAGGGGGCCGGATGCCTGGGCTCGGGAGGACCTTCTGCACATGAGTGAGAAGCACCAGACTGAACTGCTGGCGCTGTTTCGCCAAGTGGAGGACACTGGCTGCTGGCCCAAACAGATGACCACGGCGATTGTTGTGCTTCTCAAAAAGCATTCCGAGGCACGTTTGATTGGTGAATTCCGACCGATTTTCCTTTTTTCGATGCTTTACCGTGTGTGGGGATCAATCCGAACCAAACAAGTGCTCAGGCAGATAGAACCGTTTGTTGAAGCTCAGTGTTTCGGTTTTTTGCCTAAGCGCAGTGCCCTTCAATACTTCTTCATCATCCAAACGGCTCTTGAGCTGGCCCTGCAAAGTGGTGAGAGCTTGCAAGGCTTTGTGGCAGATGTTGTGAAAGCTTTTAACTTCATTCCCAGGTTTCCAGTTTATGAGCTGGCAAAGGTGATTGGAGTCCCAGACAGGCTGATTCGGCCATAGTCTTCCATGCATTCGCAGCTGGAGCGACGATTTCGTGTGAGATGCTTCACCTCTCCTCCTATTCTAAGCATGACTGGAATGCCAGAAGGGGATCCCCTTTCCTGCTTAGGCATGGTCCTATGTGATATGCATTGGCACTGCTACATGAAAAGGTACATGCCTGATATTCACTGCATTAGCTACGTTGATAATCTGACGCTGCTTTCAACGGAGCTGCCACAGCTGGTTCAGGGCACACAGGTTTTTCAATGCTGGTTGGAGGCTTTTGATTTGCAACTGGATGCAAAGAAGTCCTACACATGGAGCACCTGGCCCATGCACAGACGGCAGCTTCAATCTGCTGGCTTTGCTGTTAAGCAAGAAGCTGGTGACGTACGGCCTTCGTCGTCAGGTAGCATCTCGAGATGACCGATTGCATTCTGTCGAATCTTTTTGGCCGATTCTGGCCAGATCCTCCATCCGCGTGGAACAAAAGATTAAGGGCATCAAACAAGTGCTGTGGCCAAGGGCCTTGTATGCATCTTCAAGTGTTTTGGTCCCTGATAATGCTTTGAAGATTCTGCGTACTGGTGCCATGCGAGCTTTGCGGGCGTCTAGAGCTGGCGCCTCTCCGCTGGTGAGATTGGGCTTCCTTCATGACCCCTTTGTGGATCCTGATTGCTTCCAATGGTGGCAGGTGCTTTTGGACATCAGACAAGCTGTTCGGAAGTTGACAGGCATTAATCTTGCCTGGAATCGTTTCCTGGAACAGTATGACGGTAAAAACAGTTCTGGACCTTTTGGCAAACTGCTGATGCTGGGTGACAGACTTCAGTGGACCTTGCAGTGCAATTTTGCTGTGGTTACCATTTCTGGCCTGACATTTCACCTCACTGAGACTTGTGAAGCTGAATTGCGGATCATTTATCTAGATGCGTGGTGGACTGGTCAATCAGGGCTCATTGCCCAGCGGCAGGATTTTGAGGGTCTGAAAGGGGTGAACTTTGACATCACAACAGACAATGCTTGGCTCCAGAGCCGTAAGCAACTCGCTCTTTTGTACACATGCATGGATGGCACTTTTTTCACTGAAAAGGCACGTTCTCATTTTGACACTACTCGTAGTGGCATGTGTCGCTACTGTGAGGGACCGGATACATGGGAACATCGCTTGAGGTGGTGCCCGAAGCATGAGCATATTCGTCAACGCTATGGCCGCTTGCATCGGCAATGGCATGCCCTACCCAAATGCCTTACCACGCATGGCATTTGCCCGAGAGTTCCCGCTCAGCATGATTTCTGGAGGGCACTCCAGCAAATTCCAGATTGCACGGAGGATTTCGCTAGCCTGGCTTTTTCTCATTCTCACCTTTTTGTGGACGGCTCTTGTATGCACAGCGCTACGCCGGACAGGGCTCTGGCGGCTTGGGCCGTAACCACTAAGGACCTGGTTGTTAGCACGTCGCCCCTTGGTGGACTAAGGCAGACCATCTCTCGAGCTGAGCTGACGGCCTTTCTGTCAGCTTTACGATGTGCGGGACGACTAAGGAGGGAAATGCACATATGGAGAGATAGTGAATATGTCCATGATGGTTTCCTCAGCCTTTTGCAGAACCAGGATTTTGAAGAGAGGGAGAACTCAGATTTGTGGCACCAAGTGTTTATCTGTTGGGAGCTGCTTGAATTTCCAGTGGTGGTTCACAAAATTTGGTCGCATCTTTCTGAAGCTTTTTCGAGTGATCCTTTTACGGATGTCTGGATTGCTGGAAATGCACTGGCCGATCTGACGGCCACCACAACTAATCGGCATCGTTCGAGCGATTTTCTTGCCTTGCACAAGCGCCTATGTGGCCAGCTGCAGCACTTCAGACGAATGACCAAGGAGGCCAAAAGTTTCTTCTTAGAAATTGCGGAGGCACATGAGTCGATCTCTTCTGAAGATGCGCTGGAATCGCTGAAGCTGAGTGAACTGAGCGGGCATAGAGTCATCAATTTGAATTCGTTTGTTTTTCAGCATTTAGATTTGCAGGCAAGTGGTGGCCAACTTGAGAGCTCACAATTTGCCCAGATCTTCGGGAGGGGATTTGTGTTTTCTGTTTTTGATTGGTTGGTTGATTGTGAAAGCATGTCGGATGGTACTTCTTTAGTTTCCTTCCTGGAGTTGTTCATTGGCTGGCGAATGGCGACTGGACACCACGTCCCAGTGGAGGATCCCATCACACGAAAGTGGGTGGATCCGGACCATTTGTTGGTTGAATATTTTAGGGGCACCCTTGCACACCGGATGTCCATCTTTCGGAGAGTTTGTTGTGGTATTTTTGAGGAGTTGGGATTGGGGGTTCAGCGTGGTGATGTGTTGCTCACGCATTCTCATGTTATGAAGAAGATGTCGGGTGTGCTGCTGTGCTGGCCGTCCAAGCTGGCGGCGAAGGTCGATGCTTTTATGTATTCGCCTGAAGTTTCATCGATCCCCGCTTCGTACTAATGTCGATTTGGCTGCTAGTTGGGATGTTGAGGAGGAGGAGGACCTTGAGGTGCGTGGATGGTTCAATGGCGATCGATGAACGAGGTGCGACGGGACAAAGATGCCCCCCTCCGGCTTCACCGCCTAAATCAGGCCGTGACGGATTGGGACCGCAAGTCGCGCTATACTATATATATATAATCGTTGCTGGTGACGAGGCCACTAAGCTCGCTAAATCCTTTAGCGACGATCTATTTGCAAGACACCAAGCAAAATGCAAAAAGTCAAAAAGTTAGTCACGAAAGCACGCAGCGACGAGACTGTTCAAGACGTTTTGACTGTTCGCTGTTTCGAGATTTTGGGACAGTCACATGCCGTTCCCCTTCATCAAAAGTCCTACAAACGTTGCTTTTGCTCCTACAGATATAGGTATCGGTATAGGTTGCTGTTTTCCAGACATCTCCAGCCGTGTCAAAGTGAGTCAGCCTCGAGCAGGAACGCCTTCAAAAAAGAGAATCCCGCCAAAAGGACCCGGCAAGCCCCCGGACCTTTTGGCGGGTGACTCTTTTTGTCATTGTTGCCTTTTCGTGCACTTTTCGACGGTTCGACTTTTCGCGACGTTTCGACTTTTCGACTTTTCGCAAAAAGTTCGGAGAGCAAGTAGATCCAGCTCACACATTTAGCAACCACAGCGAAGCCATGTCATGTCTCAAAGCGACAAGCCTGGAATCTTGGACTCCAAGATTTTCCTTAATCAACGGGGCGTCAATGGCCTTCGTGCATTAAAAGGTCAGGTGCATGTCCATTGCCAGCCAGTGCTTCTATCGAGGCCTTCACACGTCTTCTGAGGGTCTAGGGGTATGGGCGGTGTCAAGGCACTACAGGGAAGACTGGTGTTGCTCACAATTGACATTGATCCGTTCAACAAAAAATATACGTGTAAAGTTGATGAAAATTTGACCACTTTCCTAGCCCCGGCCTTTGTATGGCCCTGGCCCGCTCGCCAGCTGCTGGCTCGCCGCTGGAGCTCCACCCATCGTGCCGCCCTGCATCATGGGCTGCACAATCCTCGGCAAGACACACGACTTTGGCACTTTGAGGATCTAGTGAATCACCGCACGAATACCCACTTGGATGAAGTCCCCTTCTTCCCTGCCACTCATCACAAGATGGGGAGAGGATGTGTAGGCATCGGACGTTGTGCAAGTGTGGCAAGAAAAAAATTGTAGAAACTCTGACTCAGACTCAGGATGGCCATACTCACAGGAAGCTGTACATAGCCCCCCTTCTCAGTGAGGGCACGACCGACCTCCGACGCATAAAAATGCATAAAATAGATCCACAGAGGGGAAACACCCGAAAGGTAAGTTGCAAGAAATCTGATTCGGGGTGGTCAATATTGGCTGTGACACCGCAAATGATACCTTTTCGTCAAGCCTTCAGTGTCAGATCTTTTGACCTCGGGTCCGCTGGTTGCGCTGGGCCACAAACCTGTCCGGATGTCTGTTCTGGAGCTCTGGTGCCCGGGCCCACACCACACTCCAGGGCACTGGATTGGCTCGGCGACCTGGTTAAACTGCATCTGCCGTGGCGGCGCCTGCCGCGCCGCCCGTGGCTTGGGGCGGAACTTCTTCACCATACGGGTGCGCTTCACCACTTGTCCTGGCGACCGCTGGCAGGCTCCGATGATGCTCATTGACCGGCGGCCACTCGAACCACTTGGAATTGCAACTTTCCATGTTCCCGAAAGGAAAAACTAATCAGACTCTTACTCATTGACTCATTGACTCCTCATCCCCCCCATCAAGCGAGCTTGTTTCGGACCTGCTCCGGCGCCGCTGGGAGCATTCTGGAGGCTTGCTTGTGCCTTTTCGTGGTTCTCGCGCATGCTGCTCTCAATGAACTCCGACAAGAGCTTTACCGAGGGGAAGTCGAACATCATGGTCGAAGGCAAGGCAATGCCTCCGAGCACGAGCGGCAGTGCCACAGTGCTCTTTCAGAGGTGTCATTGCAAAACACGACTGTTTAGCGGCGGTGTCGCTGTGCTTCCGACACGGAGAGTCCATTGAAGCACACGACTTGTTTACGTCGCACACCGATGTCGCTTCGTCCCAACATTGTGTCACGCCTTGCTGTGGTCTGACTGCTTCACAAATCACCCATCCATCCGCTTGGCTTCGATGCCAAACGAAACGCGAGCAATTCTGCTGAAGAAACATGGCCACAAGGGAAAACCCCCAAACCACCAAAAAAAAACACTTGGCAAGTCGGCAAGTCTGTCTTGCCCCAACCTGAAAACTCTCTCGCCAGTGTGTTCCCAAACTCCACGGCTGCGAGACTGTCCTCGGTACGGTGTGTCTGGCACCCGGGCATTCCGGGATTCCGGGGAATTCAGGCCACCGGACCCCTATGTCTCTCTCCACACACTTGTAGTTTTTCCTCCTATGTCCTCCTGTACCTATACAATTCGATACCATCCTACACCCACAAAACAAACAAACAAACAAACAAACACGTGACTCACTCTTCCCTAGTGGTGGAAAACATCTGGCGCTTGGAAATCGCCTTGAATCATTTTTCTGGCGTAAAGGGTCCATGATCTAAGGTCTTGTCGGCATCTCTCCTTTCAAGAAAAGACTTACAACTTGGCTAGACTTGCCACTCTCTTCAGGCGTCAAAGGGACTAAGCCAGCATCCATGAGAGGTTCATCGTTGTCGAGAGACTCAACTCCGATGAGGCCCAAAGCCACATCACCTGAGAGGCGCGTCCGGCGATGGGACGAGGAGTCCAGGTTGGTTCCGTGGTCGAAACGACCACAAGGCCTAAGTGCCCCCAAACATGGGACCTCATTGAATTCCGCCTGTCTAGAGGAAATGTATATTTCCAGTCCCGCCCGCCGCTGCTTGCTGCTAAAGGACTGACCACGGACACCACCTCCTCTTTGGTGGGCCCACTGTAGGGCTGAACTTGACCCTGCCCACCGGCCACAGGACCTATGGGCAGGCGCAAATCAACATTCGCTCATGTGTGCCCTGCACACCTGAGAGAACTCCCTGTCACTAGCTTCGACTGTGCACCAGAATCAGAATGAATATATATATATATATAATAGAGATACAGTATTGTGTTTTTTTAATGATCTATGTAACAATATGTATGTCTTCTTCTTACGAGTTGGACCAAGAAAGACCGCCTCCTCCCACGATCTCTTCGTAGACTTCTTCCTCCCAATACTCTTCCATTTCCTGGCGCCGCTGGCGCCATTTCCGGTGACCGAAGGGAAGACCTTGAGGTGTCTGACGAATGGGTTTTGGTGCCACCGGGTTTGGGATTTGTAGTCATTTGTCGTCTGTTCAGCTACCACTACGATTTGGTAGGGATGTCATTGATGTCATGAAGCATGTTGCCTTCAAAACTGGTCTGGTGACCAATGATAAAAGACAGAATAGAACTACCTCGACTGCACTCTTGAGGCTTCCTGTCCAACTTCCAGCTCCGCACATCCGGTGGCCCTATATAAGTTCACCCCGCCATACCATACATGAAAAGGTTTAATTGAGACTCCATGATGGGAGCTCCCCTCAGGTTGTTCACATCTGGCCAACCAGACTTGGGGACCATTCAGCTCCGTCCTCGCCCTCGCCGGCGAAGTAGCTCACACCGCCGGTGTTGGTGGGGCGAACGCCCACGGTCTTCGGGGTGATCCTGGCGGCGAGGGTCGCGGATCTTTCCGTTGCCGTTGCATGGATGTTCCTCAGACGGGGACGAGGATGTGGGTCGGTTGAGCGGGTTCCATGCCTCCCGCTCAAGTCATTTTCACCAGCGCGCATGTCGATGTGGATCCAACTTCCAGTCCATCCCACCAAAATGAGCGTTGTCAACGTGGAATAAATATATAGGCCTTGGGTGTGATTTGTTTTGACCCTATGACAAGGCTCAGCTCTGTTGTAAAACTTCTGCTGGGAGGTGAAGATTCTAGCACAAAGCTTTGCTGCTCTACGGCTGCTCTGGTGTGTGAGTGTGTGTGTGTGTGGCCGAGACCGGAATCCGCACCAGGCACTGCTCACCCCGTCCCACATGGTCTCCTCTTCAAGATGGCTTCCACAGCGGCTTCGCCAGACTCGTCATGCTGCATCTGCCAGTGGGGAGGATGTTGGGAGAATAGATAGCCTACCCAAAGCCTTGATTTTAATAAACATCTTGTTTGGGATGCACTTGATTTGGTGAAAAAAACATATCGCTGAGCAGACAAAAGAGTTGGTTTTCAAACGACCATACAACACTGACCCCAACCCCACTAACAGTCGGACCCGCCCTTCCTTAGCAATGACAAGTTAATTCGTTAGTTAGGACTGACTGACTCGCTCAGGGCCTATGCTTGGACCTATGGATCACTTGCAGGAAGATCCTGTGGTCGAGGCCAGGCACAGCCCAGCCAGCTGGGGTAATGTTTCGCTGAAATGCTTTGATACCCAAGGGTTATAGGTGGACGCTAGGTTCTAAAAGCAAGGGGTACGTCGCGGAAAAAGAATGAACCCTCTCTCAAAAATATCATGGAAACAAACCAAGCACACAGATTGGAGACCAAATGACTATGACATCATGATACACAAGCCCACTCTTGAACTCTTGTGCGCAGTCTTCCTGAGTAGGCCTTTGTGGTTCCGTTTGAGGTGTCCCGGTCTTCGGGCTTCGCTTTACTTCCGCTATCGCTTTACGGCCTGGAAGAGCTTCAAGGCCTCGTTGGCAAACTCTTTGGCCTGACGAAACCAACGTAGAGCATCCAAATCCTCGTTATGGTCACAACATGTCACAACCATGTTGAATGTGGGTGTAAGCTGAGCTGGCACTTCACCACTTCACATGAGGTAAGGAGAGAGGATTCCACGGTTTACTGGTGTTCATCTATCCGAGTGCCTCAGGATTGTGGGTCACTTCAATGCCTTCATTCCGGACAAGTCTCCGCCTCATCAATGCCTAATCATGTTTGTTCTGATAGGCGGAAATCCCTTGCATGTCAGTGGTGGCCATAACCCTTATGCCTTATGCCACTCAAGTCCGTAGTCAAACCTTTTGATTATGATGTGATCTCCCAACATAGAAGAGATATGGACAAGGATGTATACAGTGCCTTCAGAGAGAAAGCCATGGCACAGCCCGAATGTTGTTTGTGGACACGTGCCTGCATCTCGCAGATCCCCTGGATATCTTTACTCTGAGCCTCCTACATATTCAACAGGATCCCCTCTTGGGCGGGGAACCAAGTTTACAGACCTGCAGGGAACACAAGATTTGGCCTATATATGGGGCACAAACTGTCGTCCATGTCGTGGCAAAGTCATGATTTCCTGTTTGTTCATGTGGGATTTGAAGGGGCCCTTCCTCCTTTTTTTCACAACTGGAAACATCATCCAAACGCAAAGACTGCGTAATTAATCTGCACTTTTGAGGAGCTATCTCTCATCCGGGTCCCGCCTGAGGATATCCTTTGGCGCCGTCGAATTCCGCAAGTTGAGCTTTCAGCAGGAAGAAATGCCCTTCTGCGGAGCTATCGCTGACCGTCCTGTGTTGCCAGGTGGCCCACAAGCAGCAGGTGCACAGCCATCTACACTACCAGCTGCACATAGGAACAGGGTAAGTTGATAAGGAGTGCCGATCAACCAAAGCTCTGGATCCCAGCACCACTGAAGGTGTTTTGGCATGAACTCTTTTGCGCACCCTTCGACCTTTGTGGAGCCAATTCACATCAATCCGATTGAGGGTGTCCAGAAACCCATTCACATCTTGTAGTCGACAAATGGTCTTGGGTTCGACAAATAGACAAACTTGAGTTGCCAACTCTGTCCGGTCTGTTCAAAGGCGCCAAAGCAATGACACAACACCAGTCAGCCCCAACGCAAGTGAACTTGTTGGGAGCGGACGAACCCGACTCTGTACGTTTCATTGGAGCAATGCGTGGCCATCCACAAAACCATGTTCTTTGGCATCTATGTATATATACACATGAAAGTGAATGATAGAGGTGCATATATATATAGTATATGCATGTATATATATATACAATGAAGATATAGATATATATATATATACATATACACTTCGACTCGTCTACTAGACCGTTTCGCCCTCTCTCACCGTGATGCGCCGAACGTTCACCCGTGGGAGTGGTTTCCGTCCATCGATGCAATCGCCCAGCGACCCGAGACATCGAGAAATATCTTCAGGCCATGGGAGAAGCCACTTACTCATTGAGAAGAGAACCTACTAGTTTCTTGCTCCTAGTAGTAAGGCCAGGAGCCCCTAGTAGCGTCCTTGTTCCTAGTAGCGATGCCCTTTGTTCCTAGTAGCTTCTTGTTATTACTCATCTCGGACGTCCTGTGCTGCAACAGACTTCCCACCCCTGCAGGGCCCTGCCAAGGGACTGTGCCAGCGGCATGCCTTCATCAATGCACTTGTGCGAGTCCTCCGGCTCCAGCGACATCATGTGCGCGGTGGCCAGCGACAACCTTGGTTAAGATTGGCAGCCGCTGGGCATGGCCTTTGTGTGGGAAGAAAGGTCCGCCTTGCATATAGGAATGGATCTACGCAAGGAATCTGACCCTCCGAAGCTCAAGTCGTCAAATCCCAACACAAACTGTTGGAATCGTGGGAATCCTCCAGGACCCTGTTCCTTTTCCTCCAGGAGCCTGGGTATGATGCAATAATGCCTTACTGCTCAGATCTTTTGCACCCCACATGTTCCAGAGCTTCGAGGCACAGGGCTCGAACGAGGAGTTGATCGTCCTGCGGGCTCTTTTTGTGCACGCAAAGCCACCGATGCTTGGCAGCTGTTCAAACAGGAAGCGCCGGACAAACATGTTTCCCAGAATTGGTTTAAGGGAACATCTACAGAAACCCCATAGATCGTTTTGGGTGTGACAACCGTGGGTTTCGTGCAAATGTTTTTCCAAATCCATTCTCGGAATGTTGAAAGGCCAATGCAAATCTTCACGTGCAGAGAATGAACATCGGAAAACTGATAACAGAATGCCCTCAAGAAAGGGTCCCTCCCACATGTTCATCTACTTCCAAATCAGGCTCTTCCGAGCACAACAAGGTCTATGCAACTTGCAGTAACATTAGCATAAACAAACCTTGTGCTACAACCTTATTTAATGATATTTATGGGTAGCTACAACCCTGCAGCATTTGCAGAAGTGACCCCCTTGAAGTATGCGGGGCGTTCCCCACTTGCAGGATGGCCCAGTAGACCCCCTTACCACATGACTGGGTATATATATCATATAACAATATAATCTAGATAACCTATACATGATATGTATATACAGTAATCTATAGTACAGTATAGTATGTAATCATGTCTATATGTATTGTATATACATACATGTGTATATATATATATATAAATATGTATATGTAGAGAGAGAGAGCGAGATGATATGACTGACAGGCCCTCTGGATGTATGAAACACATTAAACAAAAGTGGCCCCAAAAAACTATTATATATATATATATATGTCTAACTCCTTCATCGCCATCAGATTATTTGGCAGTCTTTGAGGACTCTCCACATGTCGAGATTCGATGTCAGGTCCATCCCATCGCAGTCCTCCAAGGGCCTTGAGATATGGAGCGCATCTTTCGCAGATTGCAAGGCACGCTCGAAAGCGGCCCGCGCGGGTCGTTCCTCGTCTTCTTCAGCCTTGGCGCCCAGGGCGCCGAAGACATCGAGAATCAACCAAGTGGAGCATTGGGACCAACAAATCGTCCGTCCCCTCGCTAGTAGTAACAAGTGCATCGCTACTAGTAACAAGTGCCTTACTAGTAGTAACAAGAAGCTATTAGAAACAAGTGCCACGCTAGTAGTAACAAGTGCATCGCTACTATCATCCTGTCACTCCTCAGAGTCCTTCACACCTCGCCTCACTACCGTTTCGGCCTCGGAGGAGGAATCGACCCGAAATTTGGCACATTCGTAATCTGCAGAGAATAAGTCTTGTGAAACTTCAGCCCAAGTATCTCAAAATCAGCAGAATCCTCAATTTCTAGCTCCACTTGGGTAAGAATTGGGCCCCTCCAACCCTGCAAATGCCACCGCCGCCACTTGGGAAAACTTGATTGCAACCCTTTGGTTGGACCAACCATTCTTCAATTTCTGGAAACAAAGAGCACCTTCAACAAATCACCAACACTTTTTCCTGTCAACCCGGCCGCCGGCAGCGTGTCATCTGGGAGCTCCCAACCACCTGGGTCTCTGCTTGGAACCAATCGGTTTCAGCCTTTTCCTCGCGAAGCACAACAACCAACAACCACCCACCGAACTGATCTGGGCGAACAAAATGGGTTGACGACGGTTGTCCCTCAACGGTCTTTCAGGGAGGTCTGTCGGCCAGTCAGCTCGACGGCCTCACCAGCTGTTCAGCGGACTGCGGGGCACAGGTCACCGAGAATGGCCCATTGGTGTGCAGCGGTATGTGTCAAGCCACATTCTTACCTGGGTCCACTTTGCATGTGTTACACATTGGTACACTATAATTTTCTGGTGTTTATTCCCTCCTTCACCCTCCTTCTTTTTCCGCAACAAATCTGGGCAAAGCTTGCAGTACATGCTTTTTGACAAATCCCGCTCTCCTCCAGGACCTTGCCCTCGTTCTTGGCCTGTGAGGAAGTGCGTGGATGCGGACGGAGGAGATGTTTTTTCGGAGAACACCAAGCACTGACTCCCCAGAAGTTCACGTTTGAGAGGTCAACCTGTCCTCGGCTTGAAGTAAAAGAAAAGGAGTCTGAGAATACTGAGATTACAGCCTTTGGGCACTGACATGCAGCAAGGCGGACTGAGATGCATGCTGGTGCAATTCTGATTGCAGCATCCACTGTGAATCTTACCTCCCTAGGTGGGTGGCCCTGGAATGCCCCTTTTCTCGCATCTTTTTTCTCATGCGGAATACTTGGACACTAAGCCCATGCCAAGCAGATGGTATTCTTTCAGCATTTTCTTGCAAACATCGAGAGTACCAGTAGCCTTCCAACTAATGATGTCGCAAACCATGTGGTCAAAACAAGATCATGTGAGCACCCGTCGGTGCACAGAACAGCCCCTGAGCCTAACACAATTGAACCTCGGTCCTTCGTTCGCTCTCGGACTCTAGGACTCTTCGGTCGCAGATGTTCTTAGATCCTATTCTGCATGGAAGAAAGGCACACGGACCCCAGGTGAAATGGTCCATTCCTGTCTATTCCGTGTTCCAAAGTTTCTTGCTCCTGGTAGCGATGTCCTTTGTTACTAGTAGCTTCTTGTTCTAGTAGCAATGCCAGGAGCTACTAGTAGCTTCTTGTTCCTAGTAGAAATGCACCTTGTTACTCGTAGCGTCCTTGCAGGAACTCGGACCTCACTTCCAGTGCTTGGGGTCCAAACGACCAGACCTCCCTGTGCGGGCGTCGTTCTGCGCCTTCTCCTCCTTGGCTTTGGCCCGTCGATCCATCTCCTGGTGCAGAGTCAATGCTTACAGGATGCAACTGTAAGTCTATGCTTGACGTCACTTTTTCGCCTGAAACAAAACCTGTTGTTTTGTCCAACGACCTGAACCTTTGTGCTCAAGACTGACCAGTATTTCAACCACGACATATCTTCAGTCCTCCAAGAAAAAAAACAGCAAGAACCTTGCCCTGGGAATGACCGGACGTGAACAAACATGATCTGGGAATCCAAGGAACAAAAGCGAGGGAAGTTGGGAATGCCCCAGTCACCATGAGTAGGGTTTCTGTGGGCTGGGCATGCTGAGCATCCCAAACATGATCCTTCCAATGGAACATCTCTCCTGCTTTTCTTCTTCAGAGGCTGCCGAGAGCAGAGTCTGCGCTAGCTGGATACCTTGACCGCAGACAGGCGCAGACAGGAGACCGGGCGTGAGTTCAGACCCACGCAGATCCAACTGCCATCCAACACCTTAAAATCCTTCAAACAACGGAGTCAACATCCATTTCTTCGGACAAAGGGTGTGTCGAAAACGAAGGTGCCTAAGAAGAAACGAAGATGCCCGTCTTTT